TGCCCCCCTGCTCCCTGCCTCTCCTGCCCCTGCTGCCCTCCCCCATGCCCTTCCGCCCCATGCTCCTCTGTCCGCCTGTCCCCCCTTTCCCCCCACCCCCAACATGAGAGGGAACACTCACGCTCTCTGAGGCGGCCGTGCTGCTTTCTCCTCTGGGCTCAGGGGGCTGCCCTCACGGAGGGTCCTGCCCACGCACAGCGATGAGTCTGCACAAAAGACCTGACCTGAAGGCTCTTCTCCCACCCCGGACGTTGGGAGCTGGGGAGCGCTCCAGTGAGACCCCCAGGTTCATGTCGTGGAAAACCAGAAAGACTTGTTACCTTGGCAAGAATCTGCTAATTTACCCAGATAATTTTGTTCATTTCTACCTTCAGTCTAAGACCTAGTAGTCTTCCTGCTAAGTTTTGTGTTTTGGTGTGGTTTTGCTTTTGTCCATGTTGAATACTCTGTAAAAATTTGTCTTTCGATTATTTTTTAAGAAATCAATCCTTCTGACAGTTGTCAGGTTCTCAGATTGTTCTGTCTGTACTTAGCATTTTTCAGTACTTCAGTACTTCCTAAAAGGCCTGTACATAATTTAAATCATTCTTGTTTCTCCTTCCCCGGTATTCTTTGTTACCACATTTCAGGAGTTAATTATCTTACCTGTTTTTATTTGACAAGAGTCATGATTTGAGCTGTGTTGTCCAATACAGTGGACCCTGGCCATGTGTGATTATTTAAATTTAAATTAATAAAAGTTAAATTTTAAAATTCAGTTCCTCCCTGGCTATAGCCACATTTCAAGTGCTCAGTAGCCACATGTGGCCAATGGCTGTCTTACTGGACCTCACAAATAGAGAACATTTGCATCATCGCAGAAAATTCTCTTGGACAAAGTGGCTTTCCAGTTATTTTCATTTTAAATTAAGGTACTTTGTAGCTGTGTTTAATGAAAGTATAATTTTTTTTTTTCAGGATACGCCTTTGAGTACCTTATTGAAACATTGAATGACAGTTCGCATAAGAAGTTCTTCAATGTACCTAGACTTGGAGGCACCAAGTATGGTAATGTTGCTTAAATTTTGGGGGGTTTAGTTTAGTTTGTAATAATAAGAATGCATTTATTAATTTGAGCTGAAGAAATAATTGACTCCCACCATGTTGTAACAGGCAAACCTACACATAACCTCTAACATTTTAAAAACTCCTCTTGGGACAAGTTTTGTTTGAGGAGGATGCAAGTCCATACTTTAACTTCTCATTTACAAATGTAAGTTAATTTAAGAATGATTTTTTTCCTGCGGAGAAACTAATGCAATTTAAAAACAACAAAAAAGCCTGACTGGTGATATTCTACACCTATTATATGCATGCTTTAATTTTTCAAGTGAACAGAGCCCACGATTCTTTACCTGTCATACCTGAATAGGAATTGTCAGCAGACCCCCTGATTTGAGTGGTGCTCCAGTACGGGGCATGGTTTAGCCGGGCCTGTGTGCCAACGCTTTCAGCAGACCTTTGCAGGTGCCTGATTGGGGCCAAACCTTTCCCTGAGATCTCAGAAGAGAGAACTTGGCTCAACCCTAGGGAACTGGATGGAAGTCTTGACTTTGACAGTGGAGCACTTGAACCAGCCAATGAAGGGAAGACCTGTTTGGAAGAGTGGTTTTTGTTTGTGTGGATTTCCTGGGAAAACTAGTGGGAAAGATAAATGCCAAGTCTATTGCAGTGAATTTTATTTTATTTTATTTTTTTAAATTTTATTTATTTATTTGACACAGAGAGACACAGTGAGAGAAGGAACACAAGCAGGGGGAGTGGGAGAGGGAGAAGCAGGCTCCCCATTGAGCAGGGAGCCCGATGCGGGGCTCGATCCCAAGACCCTGGGATCATGACCTGAGCCGAAGGCAGACACTTAATGACTGAGCCACCCAGGCGCCCCTATTGCAATGAATTTTAGAGAGAGCTTTTAATCTTGTACTATTTTAAGAAGATTGCTTTTGTGATTTTTCTGTAGATTTTGATGTATTTAAATATTGTAGCCTGCCACTAGCAGTTTTTGTTATATATCATGAGAAAGTTTCAATATTTTGGAGAAGAAACCTGTCTTAGAATTAGGTTGCCTTTAAAAATAAGTTCACCAAAGTGAGAGCAGTTTTCTTTACCTTCCGTGTTTAGGTGCCATTATTTGTATCGAGAGAGGTTGGTTGTTTTCATAAGTGCCACGTGTCTTTAATTCACATTTATTTTATTTTTTCACCAATGATGAGTTCGCATTAGTTTTGAAAAGGGAACATGTAAATTGCTTATACATAAGAAAGATTTTTTATTTCACTTCTAATATTTAGTGATTCTGGCCTAGAAGATTTTTAATCCATATTTTATAGCTTAATAAATAATAAAAACATACGTGAGGATATTTTAAAAATTGGGCCTAAGTTCTTTCTGTGGATGATTTGTGGAAATATGCCCACTTGAAGCTGGCCTATATTTCCGAAATGGGGAAAATTACTAGAAAACTTTCAAAAATAATTAAAATGCATTGAAAGAGAATGGTTCATGATGTAAAAGCTAAATTTTCTCTGGAAAATAAGTTTTCATGGGCATCTAGAGATAACTGAGTTTCAGAGTATCCAGGTTTTTATAACCATGATAAATATAGTAATAACACACCTGTAAATATAAATGCTTTCAAAACAGAAATTTGGTTTTTATTTCCATGGGATTAAAGCCCTGTTTTATTCATGGAGTGGTTATTATAAAAGGCTTATTAATAATTACTAGAGTAATTTCTTAGTAATTACTTGAGGGAATAAAATTTGAAAGAAGAATTGACTTGGAGAGAGAGGAGTAACTTGAGTAGCAGGTTGTTTTGCTTGTTTATCATCAGAACAGAACGTGTGTGTGCCCTTTTGGAGAGCCCAGATTGAGTGGCCCTGCGGACCTGTGCTCAGGGGGCATTACTTAGGCAGTCACTGGGGTTCGGGCCAGTGCCGGCTGGCTGGAGAGCCAGCTGTGGTGAGCTCCCTGCTAGTGGAGGGGAGTGTGCTCCGTCCTCTCCTGTCCTGGGGAGGAAAGACAGGGTGAATTCCTGTCAGCCCCCTGCTCACCTGTCAGGAATGCCTGCAGCATGGGGAACTGAAACCCTTCTGTACAATGACTTTAACGAATGGAGATTTATCTTTCTCACGAGCAGGAATCCAGACTTGGCAGACTGGGGCTGTAGCGCACCAGCGTCAGCAAGGACCCCGGAGCCAGGCTTCTCGTTTTCAGTTTTGCTTTCATTCTTTTGGTGGCAAGGGCTGCTTCACTTCACCTCCAGGCACTGCCTGTGTTCTAGGCCGCTGGAAGGGCAACGGGGAGAAGAGCCGCCGCATGGGCCTGCGTCTCCTTGGCCAGAATGTCCCTGGCCGCTCTCCCCTTCCAGGAGGCCGGAGGACAGAGGGAGTAGCCTTCCGGCGTTTATGGGGGACAGCGCAGGGAGAACCAGCCTGGATTCCTCCTTCCCTGCATACCTCCCCTTCCTCAGTCTGTCTTTCCATGGGGCACAATACAAATCATTTGATTTCTGCTCTTTTACTGCCATTTTATCTTTTTGCTTCCCAGGCTTACGCTCACAGGGTCTTTATGGAAGTGGACACATTGTGCACATCGATTCCATTTTGGTCTTATATAATTTCACTTACAGCAAATCACCTTTTTAGGGATCTGGAGCTGCCCATGTGGCCCTCGAGTGCACTGACGGTGATGACGGAGATGTCGAGTAACTGTTACCGTGAAAATAGACCTGTTTCCGAGGGGGAGAAATCACTGCTCCCAGAGAGTCAGAGGCTGCTTTCTGAAGGAGCAAGGACTTGAGCTGCTGGTGAGCAGAGGGCTCACAGAGGACAGTCCATGCTCAGGGAGTTAGGGGCAGGGCAGACCTCGTACGGGCAGAAGGGAAGGTGTGGAGGGCAGGACGTGGGAGGGCTGGCTATCATGAAGCCTGTTGTGGAGACTAGCTGTCCCTGAGCAGCGGGGCTGCTGCTGTCCTTCAGCTCAGCCCAGCCACCCATCTGCCTCCCTGACCTGCAGTGAAGCCAAGGCTGGGTTTTCCAAATCCTAATTTGCAGTCTCTGAAAAAGTCTGTTTTTAGGAGTGTTTTTATCGTTTATAAGAAATTAGATTGGGGTTGAGAATCACAGAAAGACCACAGTACAGGCAGAAAAAGTCTCATTGTTGATGTGTAGGTACAACTCAAAGTAGATGTGCTACTTTGAACAGAAACGCGGTGTGTTGGTTTGTAACCTTTGTTTACTTGCTATCTCGTGAACATCTTTCCATGTCCTGGAATACTAGTCCCCGTGCTGGTTCTGCTCGGTGTCTGAGTCAGGGAGCGGGAGTTCAGGTAGCAGGGGATGCTCGACTTCTCGGCAGCCTCTGACGGCCGCACAGTACGGCCCACGTGGGTGCACCACGGCTTAGCAGCTCTGTGAGTGTGGAGGTCATCACCGGCTCGTCCCTGTTGACACGCAGCTGTTCTGTATGTGTCACATTTCCGTTTTGATGCGAGCTTGTCATTCTATAGCATTCCCTCCACCCTTGTCAACGTTTTTCTTTTCTACTTTGACTGTATACTGTGTGCTCAGTCTTCACCCTTGACATAAGGAACAGAAACTCAAGGAAAGATGTGGCAGTTTGCAGACGTCTGAAGACGCAGGCAGAAAGCACAGCGCTCATGGGGACCAGGATTTCTAAGCCAGGGGCTGTTTCTTTTGTCACCTGAAGGCTGCCTGGTCTCTTCATCCCTGTTTCCTTTTGCCATCTACCCTCCAGTCATCTGTCTCTGCAGGCCCACTTACTCGTTTTGTGGAATGCCCAGGGTAGCCACTGCTGGCCATGAGGTTGTGATTGTCTTACCAGCCAGTTAAGACTGGTTGTCCCCATAGCTGACTTTTTTGCCTCTTGCTTTAGCCTAGTTTGGCTGGGCTTGTCACGTGTCTGTTGCTGGGGCAGTTACCTTGCTAGAAGGAACCCAAGTCCCTCTTTTCTAATCGTGTCCTGCGTTGGACTCTGGAATGGGCTGTGTGTCAGGTTAGCAATGAAATACTTCGTTTGTAGAGTCGACACACAGTGCACACCTTTCCAAGGATTACTTTTACCTAATATGATTCTACTGTTCCAGGTACAACCATGGACTCACCAACCCTCCACATTTGTCCAAGGTTCTGTTGATTTTATCTCTGCTTTTGTTGACGTTTTCTGTTCTAGATTTAGCCCTTTGGGTGGCCAAGAAGAGACACCTGCTACCTCAAGTGAAGAAAGGTTTATTGTCATGATACCGAGCTCCCAGGCCAATGAAATGTGGCTGTATCTCCAAAAAAATGGGCCAGAATTGAGGAAGCTCTGTATTTTCTCTCTCAAGGCTTCAGATTTTCTGTGCCCTCTACTGCACTGCAGCCTAGCCTCCTGCCTGCTGACTTTACATGGGGCCCCAAATGGCAGCCTCGGCTCCTTGCTTACCTCTGAACACCTTTCTGGTTCAGTCTGTGTCCTGATTGCAAGTTCCTGGGAGAAGAATGTAATTGTCCTTGTGTATTTTCCCTCCTGAGGCTGTTGGCCACTGACCCCTGCCCAGGATTGGCTGTGGCTTCCATGCGGTAGCCAGGGAGGTAAATGGGACACAGAGGACTGCCTGTTCCATGGGTGGCTGTTTGCACAGGCCCCACAGGGTGCATCTGCTGGGTTAGCAGCTGCTGCTAGATTACATGCTCACCAGGAGTGAATGGGAAGAGTGGGTGTTTCTCCACTTTCATCAGTAATAGGTACGATTTTTCTTATTTTCTCCGTGTTTGTCAGTGAGTGGGGGAAACATCTGAAAGAAGTTTTCTCTTTTTCTGCTTTCTTAGATTATTCGTGGCAGTATATATATATTTTTAAATAAAAAAAAAAAACAGGTCAGTTCTTTACTTTGAGGAGGGCCAGATAACGCGTGTAGCACGCACAGTGGTTGTGTTACAGGAAAGGAGCTCGGACTTAGGGGACCCAGATCTTTCATAATGGACAGTAGGCATGCCTGCCTTTTG